ATCACAATTACCACTAAAATCACTTTGTAACTTCAGCATTAACGGAGAAATTCATCCTCGGGTTGTCCAACAAGGGTTCTAAGTAGCTAAAGTAGCCGTGCACACATAATTTAATGGGAGTTTAACTCACGGAAGGTGAATCTGCAGACAGCATAAAGCACTATGTTTTATACGAACCTTATCATATATAAGGATACAAAACGGCCTTTGAGCTTACATGTGCTTTACAAAGATGTACATTTTTTTAATTAATGATTAAAATAAATATGTGTGTATTTTTTTCTGGAAATACTTTTTTTATCGATATAATTATTACAGAGACTTATTAAATTAATTAAAGTTGTTTTGATAAAAATATTTTTTCTCTTATTCAAAAATTTCAAGAGAAGTTTTGACTTAAATTAAACTTTGGTAGCGTGTATGTAATAATTAAATGTTGAAAAGGGACATGACTTGCTGTACGCGAGTATAATTATCTTACTTTACAATTTTATATAATATTACAATAAGTTAAAACGCATAATATTTCACAGAATGTTTTATGTTTTTGTAAAAATATTTTTACATGTATTACAATATATGTATATTATATTCTTTCTCTTTTCTTGTGTGTAAAAAATGTATTATTAATTTATTATAAGATATTTTCAACGAGACTTACCTTATGATAGAGAGTCTTATAATCCTCGCACAGTTTGATACACTCGTCAAAAATCTTCATACTTTTTCTGGTTTTCCCCGCAAATACATCTGCCAGATTGATAAATCCTTTGCACATGACGACAATCTGGTTGCTGAGCGCGGTGAAGAGATTGCTTATCCTCTCGCGGGTATTGTAGAAAGGGGAATTCAGCCAAATCGTTCTGAAGAGATGCATCATTTTTGGCAGATATTGAGCCACGCTCACTGGAGTTGTACAAGTCTTCAACTCGGCGAGAGTGTCCTCCAGAATGCTCAGAAACTCAATGTTCGATTTCGCTTCGACTGTACCGTACTCGATCTCGTCCTTCAACATGAGGAACTGACGTATATAAGTGGACTGCGCAGCCAATAATATGTTGATAATAAGCTCCACCGTTTCTTTATGTAGCTGATAATTCAAACCGCAGAGATTGTCGTCTGATGTAAAGAGAAAAAAACACATATTTAAACAAATTAATATAGCAACGACTGTACACTATCTTCCTAAAATTTCTATACTTACAGTAACACATGGCAACTGCAAAAGTGTTAATCGTATATATACAAGTTTTATATAATACGTAGAATTAATGTAATAGTTGAATAAATAATTATTTTATTTTCAATAAAATAGTTTATTCAACTAATGCATTAATTTTAATGAAACTCGCATAGTTGTTACCTTTATATATTACTCTTATGTCTTTCTCTCTGAGTTTAAATTCTCAATTTATTTACCTATAAATTGTATAAAACAAATAGATGTAAGAGTTATGAATATCGTGCGATCAAATGTTCCATATAATGTTAAGTTTCTTTCTAACTCTATGAGTTACAAAGAGGGATTTCGTTAAAACGTCGCGTTAAAGGAAACTTTTGTTCCTTCCTAAGAAATTTCCGGACATATATTATCGAGAAACGATTCTCTCTCTCTTCTCTTCTCGCAGCCACTACGTCTTTTCCTAGGAGTAAGCACTTACATCGATAAGTCCAGAAGTCATATTCGTCGTCGAGGCACAGTAACTCGTGCGGACTCGCTTGTTCCTGGTCAGAGAGGGCTATTTTGATTTGGGTGTTCCAATAGGCCACCACACCCTCCAGCCTCTTCACCAACTCCTTATCGGCGCTACCCTCCTTCGTGGTGAACTCCCTACTCTCCAGAGGTACATATATCACGGTTAAGCCCAGCATTTTGTACGTGAGGTCCGTTAAATTGCACAAGAAGGTGTCCAGTTGGGTGCAGAAGTCCGCTTTCACACATGTGTTTTGGTGCGATTAAGGAAAAGAAAATCCAGGAACGTGATACGACATCGGACCTCGTTATCGCTGTTCCCAATACCACTATTTTTTATACCGTTCAAGCTGTCTCGGCGTCTATCACATAGAATTGTAGCATGTATCCTCGCGATACGTCCGCTGATGGAGATTTATTGAGTTGAATTGTCCGCTGTATATCGAAAGTGATTGACTACACTACATCGTCATTGTCACATCAATTTACAACCGAAGCGTGCAGCTGTAAATCTTAGCGAATACAAAAATTGAAAAAAGGACACGATTGTTCTGCACTTGAAGTGAACCAGATGTCAAACTTAATGATTAATGTAAAAAAAAGCATCATATCGCTTCCATACTTTAAAAGTGACACGATTCAAAGAATTAAATTTCCCCCCAAAAAAGGAAAAATTCTTTTTTAAAGTAAGAGAAATTTTTATTAATCAAAATAATGAGACAAAATAATGAGAAAAGAATATATTTTTAACATATAATATAAAATGTTATTTCCATCATTTTCGTTTCATAATCTTTTAAGAGAAAACGATTTTAACAATTTTGATAATTACATTTTAATTAAAATTTTAAATTCAATTTTTTTTTTAATGAGATAGGGTAATGTTTATTTACCTCATTTCTGGCAATAACTCGAAAATTACGTTTTTTAGTATGTTAAATTTTAAATAAGGAAGCAATATTATCTATTTTTTTTTACATATCTTTACACGGAAAGGACGGTTTTGCTGAAATAAAAATTTAGCTAAATCTGAAAATAATCGTTCTATATAATCTTATTGAATTATCAAAATGATTATATAGAACGCTGAAACTAGAATGTCAAATGTTTTTATAGCTCATCATACTCTTCATCATATAATTATCATATTTTAATGGTTCAACCAAATTATTTTCAAATCTGTATTTAGCTAATTAACAAAATTGTTTTTTTCCGTGTAAAATGTTTTGTCAATTTCGTTAAAACTATCACTAAGTAAACACGTACGTTTTACAAGCATTGCGTTAATTATATCGTATTAATTGTATGGCTATAAGAAGAAGAATTTAAGTCATAATTCAATCAAGACTGAATCCATGATCGCTGCGTACACATTCGGGAGGATAAAAAGCGCGACGCGCGAGCGGAGTTGTTGGGCGTCCTGACACAATTAGCAAAGCGACGCTTCGATCCAGTTAAAATCCGCTCAGGATCCATTAGAAATAATGAAGTGGCTCCCGTACGAATGCAATGCAATCGTTTCTAACTCGACGGCGGAGTAATCCCGTTCGCGTACGCGGGCAAACATCGACGCTGGATTTACCAGCGGCGGTGAGTTGTGCAGTGCATTTAGCCGAAAATTATGGTAATAATAACTTTCGTGCAATTCCCAGGCGTCCCCACTTTCCCGTCCCGTCCCCCCGCGAGACCAGGCCGGAACTTTGTGTCGTGCGTTGCGGTAACGGGATTGCAGCGCTAAAGTTGGAAATTCACTTGGTAATGTCATCACGTTAGATTGTTATGACCTTAAGCCGGAGCAACTACGGGCGATAGCGATGATCGCCCTTGGCATTGTGAGACTGGCCCGTCGTGACTCCTTTGTCACTGCTGTCGATTGAAACTACAACCACTTATTGATCGTCTTTAGCGTATATGCGGGATTATTCGCAATTGATACGATTGACACCTAAATTACGACTGCATCATCAAATTTTTATTATCTACTTCTACTACATCGATTGATCGGAAACATTAGATATCAGTTTTGTTAGAAAAAAATACAAAAATCTAAATAATCAATCAAAAACATTATAGTAATCAACCCTACATTACTCAGTTAGCTTTTTAACATAATTTATTCACTGATATGATAATTATTCACTGAGATATTTCTGATATCCCAATATTATATCTCAACTTTCATTGTTTTTTTTTATAATTCACAATTAAATAAATATTAATAATATACGTTTAATTTTATACATCCTTTACCGAAAAAAGGATGGTTTTATAAAGCTTCTAAAACTGTACCTGTATAGTTAGACATAAATTTGAAAATAATGTTGCCACCAAAATGTAACTATGAAGAACCCTCAAATTGATTGTTTTCAACTTTTTACCGCATTATTATCATACTTATATGTTCTACATAATTATTAGTTTAATAAAATTATTTTCAGATCTATGTCTGTCTAAATTTTCAAATACTTCAGCAAAATTGTTTTTTCCAAGTAGATCAAAATATGTATAATACAAATTTGTTAAAATTATGGAACAATTCAAATATGATAACGTATATAAATAATATTTATATATTAACAAATTTATAAAGCCGGGTATATCTTGGACACTTTACGCTAAGTAATGAAGGGTTGAGGAAGCATTAAAGTGATAATATGAAAACTGTATATTATAAATTTAGAGAGTAGAACGCACTAATTACACGTGTTATCCAGAGGGAAACAAGAAGACTAGAATTTACGCAATAAAATTGACTACGGCAGAATGTTCGAAAACCCAATTGGTTCGATTGGATTGAAATTGCTTCGCAAAAATCGATCATATATATCAGAACAGATATATATCGGATTGAATCATGGATTCGAGCGAGAGATAAAACGCGCGATGTCTCCCTTGGGCGCCTTTCGCTGGTGAAGCTTTTTAAACGTACATTTAAATCCGCGAAAAACTTTAAATCACCACCCACTACAAAATCAACTGGTCGCGAGCGTTTCGCGCGCGCGCAACGGGATTTGAAAGTTAAACAGAATTTACATTACACGGCCAAGCCCAACCTCAAGTGGGTCACTCGGGGAGTTGCCGAGAAGACCGACGGAATATCGTGTCTGGACCCAATTAAAGTTCCGTAACTCGCGATCTGTACACGTACATTATTTACTGAGACGAAACGAAAAAAAAAGAGAGAGAGGGAAGTGAAAAAATGAAGAAACTTCGCCAACTCTTCCTGTTAGCCTATCGTTATACAGTCGAGCTCACTCGTTCTACGGATTCGTGCCGTTTGGCCCGGTATTACGTGAAACTTTTCACGTTAGTTACGCGAATTAATTGCAATGCGATAACAGAGAGGGCAGTAGCGAAGGATACTGTCGGGCCAGGTTTCGATTGCGAAGAAAATCGGCGCGAACATATTCTGGATGATTCCTAGTATATGGCTCTCCACCTTGTCGTTCATCGACCCGAAGAGAATGCGTTCGCGAAAGTTCTCCGGGCGGAGAATCTCGTTGGGCTGTCTCACGAAGTAGGTTAGCTCGTGCACGGGAACCGTAGGAAATGAAAATTCTGTGGTCAGACTGCCGTTCACGTGATAAATGCAGAGGACCGGAATGCTCGGTTCGTGGAAGAACTCGCGAATGTCCATGTCGCATTTCCACGTCCAATCGTCGTCCGTCAGACCGCTCAGAGTCGTCATATCCTTAACATTCTGAACCTGAGAAAAGGTGTAGAATTTTTCTGAATACTTCCTTCTAATCCAAACGAATAAATGAATTTTTATTTTTCAACAACATCGTATACTGTTTCTAAAAGTATATTGTCCCGATGTAGAATGTGCAATTGAAGTTGTTTTAAAGTAATTATTTAAACGTAATTATATTTGCTAATAACTGATATAATTAAAGAACACTGTATTTATACACATGTTTTTATAGAAGAAAAATACTCAATTTACCAATTCATCTAATTCATCCGCTTCATATATCGGACGTAGCTCATCCACATCTTCTTCACCTGCAACAATATTCCCCTTCGATAACCTCTGTGGTAGATCTAGATCGCAAGTAATGCCGCGGTTGCACTGCGACAAGTGGATTCGGAAAACGAGATTCTATCTCTCTGTGCACTGCGACATTTATTGTCGGAAAGGCGACCTCGTAACTAATATAAAGGGCCTAATATAAAGGACATTGGAAAGAGGAAACAAATTCCAAAGGACGCGCGCCGGCCGTTCGTTAGTCCGTCAATTGGAACGGCGCGATGTGCCCTCCTAAATTCACCATCCGGGTTAAATAGAAGACATTCGTTCCAAGAGGGTCTCTCATTCGTCCCGATATCATTCCTCAGGCCTTCTCCACGTCTCGGTCCCATCGCTAGGCCATCGCCGCCGCCCATTCTGCCACCCACGCCTTTACTCTTGGCAATCTAATAGGAACTATAAATCGCGAGTAGCTAGTAAATCGAAGGAAGAGGAAACACGTCGCGTCGCGATCGAGACGCTACCGTAGGCCACGTTGGGGCAATTTATCCCGCTATGATGGCGGACATTATGCAGATACGACAATGTCTTCTTTGGCGACATGCAACGACTTATCAGTCTCACGTACATATTTCTCTCAAATATCGTTGTTCTTAAAATAATTATTAGTTTTATGTGGCCCGAATTTTCGGATTTCACAATAAAAAAATAATGAACACATGAAAAGAACAGTTTTGCTAAAATATCTAAAATTTTAGCTAGATCTGAAAACAATGCGCGATTTATATTAAATCTCAAACACTATAAATACAAGATATTATATTTCTAAAACAAATATGTTTAAAATAGGAGTGAAAGATAATAAAAAGCTGCAATTTCTCGTCTTTTTAAATGCACTGTCAAAGTCACTTTGTCGCACGAATAATTGAAATCATTCGACTCTGTGAATTAATGGGAGATCAGACGAAGCATTTTACCGCAGCTAATCAATGATGAAATCGCCGTTCTCGATCATACGTAACGTGACGTTAATTGTTTGCGGATTAAGGGTTTGTAGATTCTATCGCGTTCGAATGGGAAGAATTGTGAATAATAACGTTAGTTTGCGTCAGGGCGGATAGATGCAGGCAGCTTGCATATAGATTATCGGTTTATCCAGTTTACCTACTTTTGAATCGTGCAAGTACCATGAGAACTCGTGAGAGGACGAATTAGGTTCATCTTCCAACACACGGCGGGTACGATCGAGGTCGAAGGGTAAATTACCATAATCCTGGAGACAAATTAGGAACCTGCAACAGCGCGGAACCTGCGAATGACCGATTAATCGTTGCAAGTGGCCGGCTTATGTACGATATGTCATAATTATTGAAATTGTTGAAATTGAAATGAAAATTGGCTCGTTAATACCAAGTACTCTCGACGTGTAATCGTACATATATTACATATATTTTGTCTTTAAAGTTATCGCGGAATTTATGGTTACCAAATGCACTCGTGGGAGCATACAAAACAGCCATTGTAATTGCAAATTGGACGCGGCCATCGTCGAATCCGTGTCCAAATTTGAGCGCGCGTCCCTGTCGAGCGACTTGCTTCAAATTAGCCACATTATGGCTAACGTGGTCGTTATTATTGCTGCCTTGTTAATATTTGTAGAAGTATCGAGGAAATTATGTTCGCGGTAATGACTGCTGCAAACTAGAAAATGAATTAAATAAGCCAATCCTGCTTAATTAATCAGCGCCGCGCTGTAATGAAGTATTAAAAAATGTATCAGTCACATCTATCGATCGCCGATATATCGAGCGGTAATGGAATAAACGTGTCGCGATTTGTGAAAATTGGAAATTGCGGTATTTGGAAAAGATTGAGGTCGAAGTAAAGCGGATAACAGATCAAGTTGAGAATTGTGAAAAACGAAAGTATTTAATATTCCTTTCACGAGTGTGTTGCTTGTTCCGTGATCGATTTTGCGGTATCTTCGGATTTAACGGCGAAATTGGAGTGCGCGCGACGAGGTCGTATGAGACAGAGGTTGAAAACGACGGGCCCGAAAGTGTCGAAAATAGGACAGGCGGAGCGAAGAGAAGCAAAGTTGGGAAAGGAGCGGAAAATCGAGAAAGTTGAAACGGAGAAGTGGGTGCGTTTAATATTTTTCTCGTAAATCTTACCGAGCCTTTCCGCTTCATCGCTGGACTCGGCGTCCAAGTACTCTCGGCGTGGGTCCGGGGGCGGCTTATCTTTAACTTTATTTCTCCGTCTTTGCATTTTATTGACGGGGTGGTCTGCCGGCGTCGTCACCTCTCTCACACGAGTCTGTGCAGCTGATTTATGCGCCCGGTCCGACTGTTACGGCAGCGAATCTTTCAGCGTTTTCGCCGTAGATATCCTGAAGCACCACCGCGAAGTTGCCCGTGAGCAAGAGGAGTGGTCTCGGCAGTAGATCGGCTTTTGGAGACCGATCGTTCGTTGTCGAAGGGGTTCTCAATATCTCAAAAAAGTATCGCCCCGTAGTTGTTTAAATTATAAGATAGACTGTACAAAAATAATATTTACTATATATATTTATAAAATATTTTCATTATATCGCTGTAAATAATTATTTTGTGTGTATATGTGAAATAAGTTTTGTTTTTAATTTAATATTATACTCTTAAATTAAAAATATTAATAAATTTAATTTAATTTAATAATCTGTGCAATTCGTTTTGTCAAGAATGATATTTTATATATGAGATATCGCATTATTAACTCGGACTAGTCATCCATTTTCTTTTTTACGTAAACGACCTACCTTCTTTTCATTATTCCAATTAATATCACCAATATTAATAACATAACCCCCGTATTCAGAACGCGCTTATTACAATGTGATCGCACATGTAGTTGACACGTTACATGTATTATAGAATTTTAAAAATAAAAGTACCTACGCATTTATTAATGAAAGCGCGAATACGGAACATATCATACATTATTGACAATTTTCCGATTTATTAATATTTGAGATAATTACGAACATAGATTTAAACACAAATTTTTCTGAAAAAAACTGTATAAAAACCGGGTGTTAAACGCAATAAGCACAGTTAAGTATTTTATAATATTATTTCTAAAAAAATCAAGATTTTAATTAATATATCACTTTTTTATGGAATTGTGTGCATATTTAAAGGTTCGTAAAAAATAGTTTTTAGAATAGAAGGAAAATATATTAAACAATATTTATATAAAATAATATTTTACAATTTACATTTTTTGGCCGCTAGATAGAAATAAACGATTAATTCATATATTTTTGCGCTTATTTAACTTTTTGATATATTTAAATATATATACTTATATACACATATATTTATTATTATTCTAGGTTATCTCTTTCAATAAATTGAAGCTTCATCAATTAAAGCAAAGCTAATGAAAACTTTCCACTTCGTTGCATACATTACACGTCCCGATGAGCAAATCGCGAAACTTCAGTTTATTAGGTTCATTGTGGCCGTTTATTTGTTAAAATTACGTGCATTACTTCATTTCAAAGCTGCTGCCTCATTTGCGCTAGAGAATAATCATATGCATTTTGTGCGTGAATAATTATTGCACTTGTTATAAGACGTATTAATCACATACGGGATGATCTCTTAATAATGAAAAACGAATTTTGTCATCCTCGATTTTATATAAGGTCGATAAAATTGAAATAGTTTTGATTAGAGAAAATATGCATTCTGTAAGAAATAATAACATGTATTTGTGAAACTCATATCAAAATAAATACTAAACATTATTTTATTGTACTGATCATAAGAGCAATTAGTAGACTATGTCATGTGTGAATGATTCAGATAAATCCTTCAGCTTCAGATAATAAATATGAACATATCAAATAGTCTAATTAATCCAACTATAGAAAACAATTGAATTATGTCTACATATGTATTCAATAGTAAAAACTTAAAAAATTTGATTTACTTTTATAAAATAACATCATTTAAATAAAAAAATTTTCTGTAAGAAGAATAGTAAATCTACACATTATATTCATTTAATTAATTTAATTGTTATTCATAAATCTATTGTTATTCATAAATATATTATCTTTAATATTAAGTAAAAAAAATCCTGTATTCAGTTGAAGTGCATCCTAGTATTTAAATATTTCGGTAAATTTATACATATATATAGAATATCTAACTCTGCAAACCGCACGCCGAAATTTTTTTCTTTAAACAAAATTATGAACAATATTAGAGTAATATTACAATAGCAAATATTATATATTAAATTGATAAGTATTTAATAATATTGATGTTGTATCACTTTTTAATTGTTTTTTCTAAAATTTAAAATTTAAATGTGCATCAGCTTTATTCTTTGAATAAACAACAAAATTCGCGTTTGTTTCTCTTTTACGTATTTACTATTTTTCAACTACAACTCTTTAACAGAGCGATGACATGTTACTGTGCATATGAAAATAATCATAAAACATGGATTCGAATCACAAATGCTGCGTATATCGGCGAAATATCCTGACTTGACTGTATGAGTCATGTTCACTGATACGTGATTCTGCGTAGCGCATAGAGCGTCCATCGCGGATATCCGGTTAGATCGACGGACACGAGCGAAAGGAGAAATTGCACAGGTTGGTTATGGAGGGGGCAGGTCGATGGAACGAGATTAAAAGAGGCGAAGCTACAAGATTAAAAGGCAAAGCGGGACCTACTCCGAATTGAACGGCGTCGGTTGGCTGCTCGCGGAGACATTTATATTCCCGGGAAATCGTTATTGACCGATCAGAGAACCCGAATGGCTTTGTCGCGCCGATTCTCCCTTTCTTTATTTTGTGCACCCTTTCTCTGGGGAAGAACGAGATAGCGCGTGAACATCGACATCTGTCCTGCCAAGGGTTTCCGTCGCAATATCCTTGCGCACACTCTCTACGAATCGCAATCAAAAAGGGTAACCGTTATTCAATCATACATATTTCGTGGAACAAATCGATAATATTCTGCAGCTTTTCCACGTGATACCTTTTAACGTGCAACATAATATAGGAAAAAGTAAAAACAAGATTTAATTAATTATACAAGTATAAAAGTCGAGGATCTTTTATATTAGCAAAATTGTATAGATCCAGCCACACTTAGACAGATGCAATTTTAACCATAAATAAAAGCATATAGTTCAATATTTTTGAAATTAGATGGGAGATTCACAATAGGAAACATTTCTCGAGCTTTTCGTCACAATTTTCGCCAATAGCTTAACAGTAGTAATAGCTGTCTGAAGTTCTCTCAGAAATATGGGCCAAAACGCCAAAACATACCTACAGACCATGCAGACCGGAAAACGGAAATTGAAGTAGAACAGTTTTGAGACGAGTTTTGCCAGGAAGAACTAGTTATGAAACACGGTGCATTGGAGTTAGCGTGGATCGAGAACTTATGTAAAACTTAATCGAGTAAAACAGATATATACATATTTAAATGCGTTTGCTGGTAAAACGTTTTTGACAAGGTTATTATATTGCAATTTCTATGTAATAAACTGTATTTAAACAGTACTTCTACATTTAATTTTTATATTTGAACAATATTAAAATATAGAAAAATTTAATTGAAAAATTGATTTGTTAAAACATCTTTATAATTTTATTACTTCTTATAGCTTTGCACTTTTTTAAATAATATTGTTAAATATTTGTACTCGTCATTGATCGCTATTGGCTATTAATAATATTGTTACTACAGTAAAGATGATACTTTAGAAACATTTAACAGAATTATAATTGTGATTATATAATAATAACTTTATGAAAATTAATATTAACTCTTTATATTTTTCAAATGGCATTCATATTTCTTTTATTGTTTTATTTTTGAAATTATTTGTAATTAATCTGAAATGAATTACTAATTTATAAAAGCTTTCGTGAATTTGATGCGTGTCTTTATTTGCATCAAATAATATGGAATAATATAGAATACAATTGTTTGATTTATTATAATTATTTACAGTCTGTTATATATATTTGTGATATATTGAGAAATAAGAGAATATCGATTTCTGGCAGTTACATAACATGAAAGTTAGGCGTGGATGCAATTGGACCGATGTAATAGGTTTGTCTGTTTAAATTATAGAAGATAAAGCTGCGGGTTGAGTATCTGATACATACAGATAAATTGTATTCTTCCCATTAACTCGGTCTGCGGCACATGAAAAATAATTAAAAAGCATTCCCAGTAAAGTGTATTCCGGTTATTGTTTGCCGAATTAATTAACATCCCGATATTTCTACTTCAAAACGAAACTAGGTCGAATGTCGAAGTAAAAGCAACCATAGTTATTGTATATATGCATGCTAATTGAACGACGAACAATTTAGAATGGAACGGTATATGGCAGAATGCTTCTAGTTGATTGCCATCGCAAATATTCTATATCAAATTTCTTCATATAAGCGAAAGCATCTTTAACATTTCTCATCATCGTCATAAACATTTTACGAAAAAAAAAAAATAGTTTAGATTCTCGCAGTGAACTTAAACAATAAAGAATAATTTTATCCGCCACTCAAGGATATCAAATCAACTTATCCATAAAAAAGTTTAGTCCGACAATTTTAAACACATAATTACATCTAACATAATTAAATTTATGTATCAATAGGATATATTTACATGATGTTAAGTCCGTTTGTATTATTAAGTAAAAATATACATTTGATTAAAGTTATATTGCAAGATAATACAGGAAGGGAAGGAAAAGATTCTAGAACACTATTTTGTTTTATTGATATAACTCAGTAGAAATTCATGTGACAATTAATTTTAATACACAAGTTTGCTTTATATCTTACATCAGAAACAGTTAAAATTTCGACTGATGTTTTACTCAGGCTTTCTTACTCAATATGGGGTGTACTATCTATCATATAAGTGCTGAATGGTTTTTTTTATCATACTATGTTTAAAGTGTATTAAAATTAATAATTGTTGGAACATAAGTCGAAAACTCAATTATTTCTAACAAACGATTTTGTAGTTGGTTGCTAAAATGTCAAAACTTTCTACAGCATTGCTCTTAAATCAATTATTTTGATAGTTCGACAAAATTAGATATATGTATCATATGTATTTTCAGATCTGTATAGCTAACAAAATTTTTTAATATTTCAACAAAGCAATTTTTCTGTGTATTTCTTCAAAAGATCCAATCGACAAGTTTATGTATATGTATAAGTTTCCCATCGAGAGACA